ATCAAAAAGCAGAACGAGACATGACTTGCTTGCAGTATAACTTCCTTCCTGGGGAAAAGTGTACCAGGTATTCTGGCAGAGAATAACAAGAGCCAGTCACTGGAGAGTGATTAATCACAGAAACAAACTACCAAGTGAAGTGCAAGATCCTCTCTCTTCTGGAGTCTTTGAATCATGACCGGCGGCCTGTCTGGAAGACAGTTCCCAGCCTGCAAAAGCCTGAGGGCTGTGAGAGCAGATCGGAGGAAGAGTTACTGTGCAGTTACCCTCTTCTTAAACTCCTCTGTAAGCAGCTGATATTGGGCTGCCTTTAGGTGTAACTAGGTACAGGTCTTAGGACCCTGTGTGCATTAGCCCAGTACAAGTTATAGGGTTAAAAACCTTCTGGATCATGTTGGTACCCAAGCGATTCACCCCAGCCTCCTTCGTCCTTACAGTGTTTTTGTCTCGGAGTCTGTGTTACACACAGTTGTGAAAAATCGTCTCAGAAGATGTGACCCTAGCTATGTTTGGAGAAGGACTGGGGAAAAAATATCATCAGCGTTTTGACAAGTTATTTGGATTCTGTGGTGGTGAAGAGAGAAACAACCTAGAATGAGACAGTACAGCTCTACGGGCTTTAAAGTGGGACAGTGAGCGCATAGGAAAGAAGGTGGATCTACAGCATGAAGAGAATGGAGGTTTCTTTCTGGAAAGATCAGAGTGAGATCAGAAGAGAGGGATGATGCTAGGGGTGGTTACAGGGAGGATTAGAAATTCCAAACATTCAGAAATAACAATGCAGAACCTCCCCGTGTCACGAGATTTATCTTAAAATTATGAAAAGTTGTAAAGACTTGCTGTCATCTGCACTCTTTGCCTCCTATTTTCGTCTCTTTAGGTTACATGAAAATCACATTTCACAGTTTCCCTGTGACCATAAAGACAGGCGTTTGCTTTGTGAACGAAGTGAAAGCATGGGAGTTAATGACTCCAGGAGCCTGGAATTTAATCTCAACACCTGGCACCCTGATCTAGGGACGAGGCAAAGACTTTGCTAAATTATGGGGATGTTACCGCGCACTCTCACAAGAGTTTGTGTATTTTAGGAAGACGATGACCTTCTCATTTGGAGAGCTCCGGATCTGATTCATACAAAGGACTTTCTGGTCTTTGCCCTTGTTTTAGCTCTCTGCAGGACAAAGAAGGAGCAGACGAAAACGTAGGGACCCAGCACACAGGACATGGGACCTAGGGGTCAGGGTGGAGAAGGAGGACAGAGAGAGCATCATGTAGCTAGGATGCTCGGGCTGCCCGGCTTTATCTGACTAACAATGAAAGGCAGCAAGCGTGTCAGAGAGTGTGAGAGAAACAGATCGATAGAGAGATAAAACTGAGATGGAAGGAGCTGGCGAGGGGGTGGGGAAGAGAGTAATCAAACACTACAAATCAGCAGGGTTACGTTTGAACCTGATTTGAAAGCACTCTGTGCTGGTGTAAGTGAGTACAGCAGGTATGAGGCTATGGTGAGTCAGACCTAAATACAGAAACAGAGAGGGAAAAGTAGGAAGGAGATAGTCCTCTTGTTACTACTGCCCTGTAACCTGCCTTCACAGCTCTGACCCAGCCTTACAAGTCCTGCTTCTCCTTTAATCCTGCTGTATGGAGAAGCCCAGACCTTGCTAGCTCTGAGAATACAGATCGACAGAAGGGAGCAGTGTGGACAGCGTGCTGTCCTGCTTTCCCTGCTTCCCTGGGCCACCACGATCTTCAGCCTATCCTGAAGATGTGTCTGTTGGGTAAAATGTGTCTCGCCCACATTTTGCCCGACCAAATGGCAGGAAATGCTCCTTACCACCTCGTTCACCGAGGACCTGGGGCCAGGACAGCTTCTGACAATGCCCTGAACCAGTGGGTTCGGGGCACTTTTCTAGGAGAGATGATTGACTGTGCCCACGCGTATGTACCAACGGAAACTGACCAGAGAAGCCTCTTTGTTCAGCTCCAGATTTCTGAGGCGAATGCGACCATCCCAAAGCTAAGGGGGGCATCAGAGCATGTAAATGAAAACGTGCTCTACCAGAACAGGGCTGAGCATCTGGCTACCTTCCCCTGTTAGGGCACCTGTTTGCCTCCCCGGCCCAGGCACTCGGAGCCATTTTGCTCCTTCTGCCTGGAATTACTTCTGAGTGACATCCACCTAATTCTAGTGACATGACCATTAACGTTAGAAGTTTGGTTTTCCACACTGACCGTTGCTGTCCACACTGCTCCCTTCTTCTGTCAGTAGTCTCAGCGTGGAGACCAAGCACTGAAGGAGCCTCAGGGACTGAAGGCAGCCTGAGAAGGGGTAGGGACAATACATATGTCTGTTCAAATGAGTTGGAGCAGCCTCTCGCTGGGAGACACAATGATCTAACTCCCCAAGGCAGCCATGGGTTGTATTTTCTAGCTCTAGAATTGTGTTTGGAGCAGTACGGTACCCCAAAGGAGCCTTCTCCACGACTCAGCCACAGCAGCTGCGTGAGAAGAACTAGAGTCAAAGCAAGTCATGAGAAAAGAGTTGTTGATACTGGCAAGTAAAACCTTAACAAACTTAGATTTTACCCAGATGAAGACTTCAAGATGTTATACTTATTTCAAGACGTTACGCTTACAGAAGTCTGGCAAAGCACAAGTCAACTGCCTTTAATACGTGCTAAACCGATCAAGCTGAAGACCGATTCTCTTGCTGGCAATAGCGTGCTGGAATGCAAACTTGCCCTGACGGCACTAAGATTTTAACATGCTAAAACCATGTTGCCTGCACAGGCTCTATTGGGCTCCCATCAATTTGTTGCCTCCTTTGCTTTCATGGAAAATCATCGCTGATTTCTAAAGGAGCCAGCCACGAGGAAGTTGGTGCCGGGCTGGAAACTCTTGGCCGCTTATTATAAGCTTAATGCCGCTTATTGAAACGAGTGTTTGCTGACCACGCTCCTCCCGGTCCCCCTCACAAGTCACCTCCGCCTACCGCTTGATTTATGCAAGACAAGAAGAGCTATGAAGGTTTTTTCCCAAAATGACCCTCGCTTTCTAGTCCCATCATTGTAAAAACAGCTCTTTCACCCTGCACGGGGAAGCGTGCCCTCGGTGATTCCTCCTGATCGCATTACACTAACTCATTTACCCACGAAGGGATACTTAAAGTATACCATAAACATTTCTATCCTTGTGGAGTGTTTAAGCTATCTTTTTATGGCCATACTCTGCCTGCGTCAGGGATGCATTTCTTGACAAGTGCGATGGTTAATGATTCAGCAGATAGTAAAGCCATTTTTTCATAAAAATTAATGCAGTAGAGGAGGGGATGCATGCAGGGATTTAAGCAATGCACAGTCTAAATACATAAGTATGGTGCTTTGCAACATAAGATTTTTCACATTTACATATCCCTGAAACACTGCCCAAAATAGTGACATCTTAATGGTGTGAAAGCAGAGCAAAGACGAGAGTGATGTGTAGGCACACACAAGGTATTCTATGCATCTCTTTTAATTCTGGCGTGGTACTTACAGAATATATAATTGAAATATGAAAAATACTGTGCCGTATAGCTGCCTATCTGTTTTCTCATCAGTTATTTTAACATAAATATTGTGTGGTTAAAGAGTAGATATTCACCAAAACGTGTGGAGAGACCCATAAATACGTGGATATTCACGTGGCATCCGTGACCGTTACGGCAGCTGCAGCTTGTTGGACACATTTCAGTACGACTGGGCGGCTCAGGGGAGTTTTTGACAGAGGATGGGTGGCGAGGAACAGGAGCACAGCGAGTAGGTGCTGGCGGCGAGCAGGGCCGGGCATGAAAAAAGGGGGGGAAATCGGAGGGGATGGACCGACGCAGCCGTGGACCAGCGTGGCCAGCCCTGGCGACAAACGGGTGGCCGCTGCCAGCCTGGGTGGAGGCTGCACCCCGG